TTTCTGAACATTTTGCTCCTGTACATTGGGTCAAAAAACATAACACTGAGGATTTATGGCAGCGGGGAATAAGAGCTGGGGTTAGACAGAGAACACCTACCCTTTTCAGCTTCCTTCTCCCTTAGAAAACAAATCCAACCTTCACACAGGCTCTGCTAATGAAGCATGAAATACTTGCAGAGCTGATGGCACGGTGCAGAGCAAGGAATTTTAGTCAGGTGGTAACTGAGTGGATTGGGAAGACAATGGATTTACCAGGTATATGGCATGATAACAATTTCATCAACTAAAAGGATGCCATAGCCTGAAAGCTGATTCCAATGCAACTCCTCTGCTAAATTCTGCAGAGAGGAAAGTGTGTGGGATGCTGAAGTGAAGGGGGAATCCCTGTTATTTTGGAAGTGAGAGAGCTGAAAGAGAGCGATGCCTGTAGGAGTACAAGATTCTCCAAATGAAAGCAGGCAAAACCTGGATTTTTTTGAAGGATGCAGCTCTGATCTTCGTGTGTGTTTTGGCCTAGGAGCAAGGGAAAGAGAACCTGGATTCTAACGCTCGAGAAAGGTGTTGGCTGAGCAGAGTGTCAGCTCCACCCGCAGGGGCAGGAGGGCAGTGCAACAGGGAACAGGGGATTTTGCCGGTGCTTTTTAGAGGGAAACCGGGAAAACCACATCACTGCCTTTTCTTTCTGATCAGAGGATAGTCACACTATTTCTTCTGAGTGTTTAGAAGACATGTTATTTCGTGCTCCAAGTTGTTGCTTTCCTCTGTGCTGATTTTTAAAGCCACCTCTCAAGAACAACTTTTTTTTTTTTTTTTTTTTTTTTTTTTTTTTTTTTTTTTTTTCTGTAGAGGATGGACCCTGCTCAGGATACCTGGAACCAAAGTAATGGAGGTGAGGTCAAATCTTGCCACTCAATTATCACTAAAATGGAGTTGAGTTCAGCAGAGTAGGATCATGCCTGAATATCAATTTTCTGCTTTGATTTCAAGACATGGGTTGTTGATCACTACATCTGTACATCTTCGCCACGATTGCAAAGTGTCACTGAGGTACTTCAGACTATTTTCTTGTAAACAAGATTCATTTTTGGCAGTTTATTCTTGCCTTCTCTTTATTCTCCACCTGAAGCTGTCATCCGCAGCAGAAAGCACTGGTGCACTTCTCTTCAGGGCTCACTGACGGAGAGAAAGGACAGCAACTGATAACGCTGCCTAGAAACAGATCTGACTCTAGAGTAAAAAACCTGGGTTTGAGCTTGTCCTGGTGTATCTGTAATTCCCACCTGTGCAAGAGCAGAACAAGGCCAGGCGTTTTCAGTTCCCCATGGCAAGCCAGTAGCAACATAACAAGCTCTGCCTCATCTCTGTCTCGATGCACCCGGCTCCTTGTGGGCAGCAGGCAGGACACGGTGACGGCACTAGACAGACCGTGGACTGTCATGAATTCAGTGAACAGCCTCGGGGTTTCATGCTGAAACAGATTCGGAAAAAGGAGAGGAAAGGCTTAGGAATAACTCACAAATAAAAGATATCCCAAAAATCTTGTGTGTAGTGGTGGTATTTTAACTTGGTTCATTGCAAGCAGTTTGGATGGTGAAAGAATAAGTCACTCCTAGTTTCTCTTGTTCTTTTCCACTTTCTGTTTTCCCAAGCAACACTGAGCCTCTAGTTTGTTTGTCTTCTCAATTAAAGTGAGCAAAGAGTCAGGATTTAATTTTGGATACAGTTTTGTACATTTCAAACCTTATTATTTTTTTTTTTTACTTATTATGAGTCTAGCTAACTATGTTTTGAATTAGTCTCCAGAAGTTTAATGGTTCATTTTTAATAGAGGTGACTGAACAGGTTTTGGATTGTTTTGCTGTTGGTAAATAGTTTCTTCACCAAAATGAAAATACTTATCCTGCTCTAAATAATTTTTTCCAGATGTTAACCAAAATGCTTTCCTCAGTTTCTTTTCCCATTTTTGTCCAGAGAAAACAGCTATAATGCTCTAGTCAGCTCTATCATATCAGATATGAATGAAAAGAGTATTTCCTATGCAATTATGTATTTCTGGCATTTTTGTGTTAATTAGATATCATGATGTTAATGTAATGTTTGTCAGTGTATATTTCTGCATGGCAACACACTATGAAAGAGAATGTTTTTCCTTCTCTCAAGCACTGAAAGTGCACTGAGATTTCCAAGTTGTTTTTTTTACTGAGAACTAAGTAGTGTCTGTTGGGATCTCTAGCTGTAAATGCTGTTTAAACACCCAGCTGGTATTTATGATTATTTTATTGCTGCCTTATGGCCAGGAGATGCTAAACAAACTGTGTCAAACTTCCTTCTTGCTTTCCTTCCTTGACCCAATTTTTTTTCAAAGCTTCCTTCAATCATGAATCCAGGGTAAGGTCAAGACATTTGCAGAAAGAGCTGTAGAATCTGGGGTTGTCTGTTTTCAAGCTCAGAATTTGTTTGACCAAATCTCTAATTGCATTGGTTAGAATCTTGCCCCATGCATTGTTCTTTTGCCACCCTTTGCTAGGTGACTAACAGCAGCCGTTCATCACTGTGCTCCAGACAATTCCAGCAGATGAATTCAGTTTTACTTCCCCCCCCCCATCACCCACCACGATCAACATAACTCTGCAAGATGTTCTGTGCTGACATGCTTGGAGTCAGGCTAATCCTTGTCTTTCAAGGCTGTCAACATGTCCTTGCTACCTCAAGCCTCCCAAGTTTTGAGCGTTCAAACCCATCCTTTGGTTACCACTCACCCTGAAAGCACCTGAAGTAGCCAAGTCTCCGTGTGCTGAAAAGTCTGGAAAGGAGCTCGCTACTAACACAAAACTCTTTCTAGGGTTATGTGGGAGTCTGCAGCGTTTCTCAGTGGGTCTGAAAGGTGTCTGGAGATGCTGAACACACACTGACGGTACCAGCCAGGGCTGAATCTGCCTTTTATGCCAGGAAGTAGAGACTGGGCTCTGAAATTGGGGACTGCCTCTGAGATTCTCACTGAGAGGAGCTGAACATGTCTACCATGCTTGAACCTACCTGATTACTACAGAGAGGTGCTTTCTACTGCTGGAGTCACTCTGTTGGCATGAAATGATCACACTCTGCTGATTTAGGAGGGCTGAAGATCACTCATGTGTCATTCTCATGTCACTGGCAGGCAAATGGTGGGTTCCCAATGGAAAGCCTGAGCTGGGCGTTGCTGTAGGTATGCAAGGCTCATGCTGCTGCTCCTTGGCTTTTGGGCAGCTTCTCTACCAACTCTTTCAAGCTCTGGGCACTTCAGCCATAACCCCAGAGGGCTGGGACACCCCACCAACTGCCCATGTTTATACCTGGGGGTATAAACCCCAGTGTGTTTTCTTCAAAGACCCAAGCACACACATTCTATGTGTGGGCACACAGAATCATAGAATATCCTGAATTGGAAGGGACCCACAAGGATCATCAAAATTCAGCTCCTGGCTCTGCACGGGACACCCCAAGAATCACACCATGTGCCTGAGAGAGTTGTTCAAATGCTTTTTGAACTCTGTCAGGCTTGGTGCTGTAACTGCTTTCCTGAGGAGCCTGTTCCAGTGCCAAACTCCCACTGGGTGAAGACCCTTTTCCTTATATCTAAAGTAAACCTTCCCTGATACAGCTTAATGCCGTTACCTCAGGTCCTGTCCCTGGTCACCAGAGAGCAGAGACCAGAGCCTGCTCCTCCACTTCCCCTGAAGAGGAGGTTGTAGACTGCTGTGAGGTCTCTCCTCAGTCTCCTCTTCTCCAGGCTGAACAAGCCAAGTGACCTCAGCCACTCCTCGTATGGTTTCCTCTCTAGACCCTTCAACATCTCCACAGTCCTCCTTTGGACACTCTCCAATAGCTTTATATCTGTCTTATATTGTGTTGCCCAAACTGCACACAGGACTGGAGGTGAGGCCGCAGCAGCGCAGAGTGAGACAATGATCTCCTTCGGCCGGCCGGTGATGCTGCACACATGCCGATACAAAGCTGCTGCTTTGGGAACGGCGCTGCTGGCTGGGGTACGCTCTGCTTTTGGCTTTGCTGAACACACCTCTCCCCACCCCGAGTTTGCTACGTTCTCCAAAAAAAAAAAAACAACCAAAAACTTAATCCAACATTTCTGCGCGTACTCCGCAGAGGATGTACTTTGTGCAGAATGCACTTTGACTGGCACGGTGATCCCGGCTCCGGGGCTCCTTGGCTTGACCCCGGGGGACCCCCAGACACGGAGCGCTCAGGGAGCTCCGCGGGGAGTCACGAGTGGAAGGCAGGGCGGGATGCAGGAGGCCAGGCGTGGGTCGGTGCCCGCCAGGGCGCGCTGGAGATCGGCGCGGCCGGTGCTGGGGGAAAAAGACCGGCGCCGGGAGAGAGGGAGGCTCGGTGTGTGCCGGCGGCGCTGCCCGGAGTGGGACCTCCCTCTCTCTCTCTCCCCCTCGTCCCCTCCCTCCGCTCCGCTCGGCCGGTGCCCGCGGGTCGAGCGGGAGCGGCCGCGGCGCCGGAGCAGATCCCCGCAGCACTCGGGTTGCCGGCGCCGCTGCCCTCCCTCTCTCCCTCCCCCCTCCGCGTCTGGGGGGCGGGCGGAGGGGCCGGGGCACCCCCCGGGCCGGGGCGGGGTGGAAATTTACCGGGTCCGTCCTTAGCGAAGGAGCGAGCGAGGAGCTCGGCGGGAGGCGGAGGGAGGGCGGGGAGCGGCGGAGCATCGTCTGGCGGGGAACGCGAGGGACCAAATGACTGTGAGGACGGGCGGCAGCCGCCACCGCCGAGACAGGAGCGAGCCGCGGCGCAGCGGCAGCAGCGCCGGCAGCAGCCCCGACCCCCCCGGCCGGCTGGGCGGCGATGGCGGCGGGCGGCCCGCCGGGCTCGGGGCGCGGGCGGCGGCGGGGCTGAGCTGAGCCGGGCTGAGCTGAGCCGGGCTGAGCCCGCGGGCGCCGCATGGCGCGGGCCTGATGCCGGAGCGCGGCCCGGAGCCGCGGCGGTGCTGCGGGAGGAGGATGAGGATGGCGGGGCTGCCGTGGAAGTGGCCGCGCACCCGCCTGCCCGTGGGCGCCAGCGCCCTGGGCGTCTTCGTCCTCTGCTGGCTCTACGTCTTCCCCGTGTACCGGCTGCCCGACGAGAAGGAGATCGTGCAGGGGGTGCTGCTGCAGCAGGGCAAGGCGTGGAGGAGGAACCAGACTGCGGTCGCCCTGTTCAGGTACCGCCGTGCGCGGCCCAAGGGCAGCGGGGACGGGCGCGGAGCCGCGGGCAGGCGGGTGACTGCCGGAGCTCTCCCGGGCGCCCTCCCCGCCCCGCCGAACCCCAAACTTTATTCTTTCCTCCCCGACCCTTTGGTTTTTTTCCCAGCCCTGCCCGCCCCTCTTGCCCAGCAAAACTTTTTTTTGGGTGGCTCCGTTTGCTGCGGGGAGGAGAAGGGGCTCGGCGCGGGGGATGGAGGCTTATCCTCGCAGGGATGCCTTTCCAAGGGGGCTGAGATTTCCGAGGCTTGCGGCATTGCCCGCAAAATAGGATGCTTCTCGCTTCCCGGATAGCAGCTGCACCGGCAGCCCCTGTGGCTGCTAACAAAGCCCGGGGCTGGGAGCCCGGCTTCCCTCAGAGATGGGCACTGCCAGGTTGCTGCCAGGGAAAGCTCGGCTTGTGGAGCTTCCCGGGATGCGTAAGGGAAGGTCTGCGTGGATGTGCATTCGTGTCAGCATCCCCGCTCCGAGGAGCACTTGAGAAGCACCGCGCTGGTCCTTGACTCTGCGGTTTATTATAGAAACCACGTGAAAAGGCACCTTTTTTTCTCTTTTCTTTTGACGTGGCTGGGAAATGGCGATAATCCTTGGAGCCCATTTCACCTTACCCAGCTGCACAGGAGAGGAGGAATGTTGCAGTCAGGGTGCCGCTGATAGCGGTGGAGAACCGGGTCTCTGCAGCGGGGAGGATTTTTTTGAATGGCCCTGCCTTAAAAGCGTGTGCAGGGGGGATTCTCATCCTCGCAAAAATTTCACATGTGTCTGGGTAAAATGCAGACAAGTGGAAGAGAAGCAGATTTCCCTCCTTTTCCCGGAGGGAAGCTGGGGTTTCTCCCTGTCCTCCGAGTAGAAAATTAAAGATCAGAGTAAGTGGTAAACCGGAAAACAAACAAACCCCCCAAAACCCCCTCCCAACCCTCTTTAGTAAAAGCTAGAATGAATCAGACCCAAATTCCAAGGGCCTTTATTGCCCCTTTTTATTTTTTCCTTTGTTTTTAAGTAGTGTACAGTTTTATGTTCTTCAGTATTTTTTTGAATGTATTTGCATTAGCCATGAACGGGAACTGACATGTGATCGCTTAATGTCTTGCCTGCTGGGATAACAGAAACTTTACAGTTTTTCCTAGCCTGCAGGAGACATACACAATGATAGGTGATAAGCAGAGGTGTGTTAATATTGTCTCATTGAGCAGGCCTGGTTGAAGTCCTGTCTTTAATACAGAACTAGCAATAAGATACAGATGCGTGACCCTTTTCTTAGAACACCTAACTAACACTAGAAACTAGCTTGATCTTCTTGCATACTAATTAATCCTGTTGTGCTACAGATCCCCATTTGGGGGGTAGAAGAATCCAGATTTTTAAAAAATTACCCTGATAGATGATGTAGGAAGGAGTTTGGTCTATTATTTTTCATGTTTGTAAACCAAATATTGTTTGAAGATTCGCAGCAGCTGCTGCAGCTTCAGTTTACAAAGCAGTTTTAGACCATTTCCACCACGTGGTTTAGTAACAAAAACTCTGTGTGGTTCATCAGCTATTCCACTTGCCCATATGTTTCTCCACTCTCCAGGCATAGTGATAATCTCAGAGGTACTACTGAAGAGAGTCTCATGCAATAATAGGACCTATTGTTTCTTATCCATGTCTGTTGATGAGTTGGTGCAATGCTAAATACAATGAGCTTTAAATCAATCTCTTTCAAAAAATCAAGTTTTTAAGAGAAATTGTACACTGGAGATACGTAGTGAGTATAGTATACTATATGATTCAAATAGTTGTGACATAGAGCTCTCTTTTTGCTGCATAAATTTGCTTCTTATCATGAGAGAATGTTTTGAAATTGAAGTCCATGTCGGGCAGGCTGCTGTATATTTGAGGTGATTAACAGAAACACTGTCTCAGTCTTTGCTCTGGTCCTGCTGTCTCTAAGCAAGCTTGCTGTAAAACCTCCAAATTTCACTTTCTGCTGGAAACTGCCTGTGAATGTGAGTCTCTGTTTGAATAGGAAAGGGGGGATAGAGCTTCACAGACAACCTGCGTGTGGACTTTCAAGTCGTGTGTGTTTTCATAATAGTCTAATACTAAGTGGGCTTTAATGTATTGTTAATATATTATTTAAGAACAGTGTCAATTGCCATTCTCCCTAGTCTCCTGCCAGATTCTAGTTACCAAACAATTTTAGTTTTACTCAGTTTTTGAAGCATAAACTTTGAATTAGTCTGTGCTAAAATCTGTATGCAAACTTTCACATTACTGCTTTGTGTAATGTGGTGGCATTTGTGATATTGTACAGGTGTTTGAATAGCCAGATCCTTGCTACACAGAGCCAACACCTGATGGGTTTTTCTGCTCCTTTGTGGACTCCTACTGTTGAAGTAGATAAGTATTGTTGAAGTAGATGCTGGGTAATTAACTTGATCAAATAATATTTTTCAAACCTCAGAAGGGCTACTACCCCTTTGCCTTCTGTACCTGGATCAAAGACAACATCACTAAGTGACTTAGCAAGGTCAATGAAAGCATCTGGGTAATTTGGAGTATTTTGAGTTGAATTCTGGCAACCAAGTGCCAGTAGCTCCTCAGTCTTCACTGCCCCCTCCTCCTCTCTGAACAGCCAGAAACCTTATGTAAAGATCAGATCCATGTAAACTCTTGCTAATGCAAGAACACAGACTGTCCTGGTCCTTGTGGAATGATTCAATGAGGGTTCTGTGTTTGAATAAGGATTCCCAGAGCTGGTTTTCAAATAAAAATACCTGTGTAAATAGCCATGGATTGCTCTTTTGAAGTGTGTGGTGTCTTGCTGCAGCTGTGATGAAGGATAGTTTATGGGAGTAACAAAATGAGCAGGATTAAGCCTTTGACTGTGTGTGACTCTGTGTTTAAAGCATGCTCTCAGCCTGGACTCTACATGCATGGCTTTTGTGAGAGGTCCTGGCATGTTGGATGGGGCCCTGAGCAACCTGGTTCAGTGGAAGCTGCCCCTGCCCATGGCTGTGGGTTTGCTTGATGATTGTTAAGGGAATGAGATGATTGTTAAGGTCCCTTACACGCCAAACCATTCTGTGATTCTACAAGTGCACCGAGTCGTGCTGCCAGCAGTGCAGTGGGTGTCAGCACGAGAGCTGTCTGCGTTCTTCGATGGAAGGACATGTGTTGAAAAGCCTGAAGATGCAACTGAAGTTGCATTAAAAGTTGATTAAAAGAGCTATTGGTCCAAATCCTTTCCTCAGCTGAATGTAGGTTCCTTTAAAGTCCTCAAATTCGGGGCATTTGCCGTTGTGAGCACAGCCTACCAGACATCTATCACTAGTGGCATCCTTTAAATTTCAACTCAGGAGTGGCCAAGGGTAGTCAAACTCTCCGCTGTGGAAACATCTCCTGTCTGACAAATGCTGAATAGTCTGTCAGTCAGATGGTAAACTGCTTGAACTACAAAGTGGTCAGAATAGGAATGAGATTGTCATTACAGTCACTAATAGCTAACATGGCTAATTTGCCTACAATATAATGGCTTGTCATCCTCTGAGGTGGTTAATGTTATTGCGCCCTAATTGTTTTTACAGATTGCTCAGGGTTTTTTTTAAGAGCCTGGGGCTGCTGAAATTACTTAGGCAAAAATGTTGTTAATTGTTGTCTGTTATTTCTTAAGTAAATGACATACAATAATACCTTTAGGATGGTTTTATTTAAAATGTTGCAGTTCATTAAAGGCATAGCTGGATCTTTTCGTCCGCCTTACAAGCTCCATACAACCACAAATCCCAAGCGCTGTGTGTTTATATGACACTTTTGATTGGGGTGGACCTTCTCTGAGGAGTGACTTTGCTTGGGGCCAGTGGGCTTTTGACTGTCAGGAGTCCCACCGAAGGGGTTCAGTGGTGATTAGTGACTTAGAGGTTCTTCAGGAAGAGACAGAACAATCTCTGCATGGCAACAGAAAGGCCTCCCTTGAGATTCAGACTGTGATCTTGCTTCTGCTGCATCAATTTTGTGTGATGCCGAAAGATCACCCAGGGTTTATTCTGGGGGTAACTTGATTAAGCTGGTGGAAGATGTCCCCTGTGAACTCACTGTTTGTGACCTGCCTCCAGTCCAAAGCATCTGCTACAACTTGACTCTGCTCTTCCGTGATGTCCCCTCTGTCCCTCGAGCCAAGCAGGCCATGCTCACCTTGGCAGGTGGCTTCTTCCCTCCTTTTCATCAGGTGTGGCCTCTTGTCCATTTTCCATGGACAGAGTGGAGAAGCTCCTGCTGTGAAATCACACAATGGGATCAGTGGCCGAACTGGACGGGATATCCGGACATGGCAGGCTCTCTGGTGCTTGCAGTGTGGACAGACTGTGTGGAGCCTTTCGCGTGCCTTGCAAAAAGAATGCTCTGTTACCTCCGTGTGCTGTGCCGGAGGGGCTCTTCCGACTGTAACCTTCCCTGCCAGCTGCTCTCTGCCAGCTGTTCCTTGTCTGTACCTTGAGTGCAATCACAACGGGCGCCGAGGTGCTTCCCCGTGTGCAAATCCTTTTTCATTCTGGATTGCATTAACACACAATTCCAGGTCACTTCCCCGTCTGGGTGAGATGAATGGTATTGCCTAGTCAGCAAGGGTTTCTTTAGTTCAGATGACTTTTTTTTGTCTTCTCTTTTGATGTGTTGCAATCCCGAGTGGAGTATTTCAGAGAAGGTCACTCTAAACAAACCTACATCCTGAGACCCTCACTGCCACTGTCCAAGCTTTCTCGGCCCCGGCAGATGAACCTCAGGATTAAAGGGTGGGCTCAGTTCAGCGCACGCTGTGTCTCACCTAAAAATCCACTGCGCAGGCTCGAAGGGTTAATGACCTTTCCCAAATCTTCGCTCGCGAAGACTGGCCATTTAATTTCAGGACAAATCTGAGATTAAACTTCATGTTGCTCAAGTGAGAGTTAGATAAGAGTTTTGCCCTGCTTAAACAGCTTTA